GAGATCTCTGGTGAGGTCATTTAACTCATCCTGGTTGAAACATTGAAGAATTGATGACATTCTCTCGTAATCACAGTCACCTTCATTGGGATCAGAGGGACTCGTCCTCACAGAGGTTTGGTAGCTGGTGAAATGATGGAACTGGCACTTCCTGTGAGTGAGGGACCGGGCATCTTGCAGAGACTAAAATCAAGATAAACCCACTTGCTACGGTTGTTACGATTGATTCCATTAATATTTACTAGGCAGAAATAACAATCATCGAAGTGATTTTTGGGTTCTCTCCAAACCATCGGTACGCCAAATTTCAGACTTTTTCTTTTCCAAGTAGTCCACTGTCGTAAATGTTCTGTACAAGTTTTACAGACCTGATTGGTGATCAGCTTTTATCCTGATCACCAAGTTTAACACCAAAGTATCCAAGATAAGCTCTCTTTAAAGTCACTAATAGTTTTTCTGTATTCTTTTAACATATATTCTCTGCATACCATGTATGTAGCAAAACACATCAGAATGATTTACACAACTTCTTCTACTTGAACTCATTTTATTTCTATTCAACAACACAAATAAAAGCATCTAGAATACAGTACTTTGTTCTTTGTTTCCCTTTTCTTCTAGAACTTTCCTTATAACCCTTTTCCCTTGGGGTGGGATTAACAATTCTTGGAACCATTTAGATCAAGGGTGTCCAACCCGCGGCCCGCGGGCCGCATGCGGCCCAAGGCAAGTTTCAATGCGGCCCAATAAACGTGTAAACAAAACCGACAAATTTTTTATTTTTTTATTTCAACGGCATAAACAAAAAATAAGTTTCACAAAGCCGTAAACTTTTATACATATTTTATTTTTGAGTGAAAAGAAAATATTTTCAAATACTGGAAGATGTGTGGATGACGAAGGAATATTAAATAAAGCTGAAGTTGTGACTCAAAGGATTATAGACCCAAATTTGAGAAAAGAAGAAAAAGGCCAAAAGATAAAAAGTTGTGAGAAAGGTTAAATAGACATTCTGTAATGCAAATATTGACCCTTAATTATCCAACCTTTGTCACTACTTTTTATCTTTTGACCTTTCTCTCCTTTTCTCAAATTTGGGTCTATAATCCTTAGAGTTCCAATGCCAGCATTATTTAGTATTCTTTTCAGCATTGCAAGATTTGGCTACTTTGCGTCAAATTTGGCTACCCTTTTTTTAGTTTGGCGCAAAAATTATCATTTTGCCCATTGGCTACTTTCTGGACTACATACTATTTATAAATATATTAGTCGAATAAAAATGTGCTTTAAAATGATGTTTCGTCGTTTTTTATTAATTAGAGACCCAAATAAAACAAATATTTGTGTTTTTAAATAAATTTTTGTTTGTCCCTTTTATAATAATTGAATTTATCTATTTCTAAGTAAAAATTGAAAGGGTCTGTAGAAGTAATTTTTTAAAATATCCTTTTTCGTGATAAAGTTTTAATAC